TGGAATGTAAGCAAAAGAAAAAAGCATTCTGTACCCAACTTTTGCCAGATATTTAGGTACATGAAATATGATGTATACTTTATTTGGAAACCTCTGAGCTATTTCATTACTCAGTTTCTTGGGAACATCATATTTCAGGGTCCAGTGTGGAAAAGATAAACAATGAGATGAATTTTTATTCATCCTAATATTGCATAAACACAATGAAATCTACCAAGAAAGGAAGATATGAAAACACTCACAAACCAATTCAACCTAATTATGTCGGTCTATGTTTGTTAATTACCATACCAAATTTAGCTTTGGCATTAACCTTGAGGGCACTAATGTTCCAGAATTAATCAGCTAAAATACAAAATAGGAAACCTACTTTGAAACTATTGAATGAGAGATACAGATGTAGAGGCCAATGCACAATTAGGAAAATGAGTGACAATCATGATTTCAGGGGATTAATGATGAACCATGCAACTCACCTCTTGATGGATAGATAAGATGCTTTGTTTGACTATGCATATCTGTTGTGAGAATTTTGTTTTTCTTTTTTTCAACTTGAGTTGGTGGGATGGGGTGTTCAAAACATAGTTCAAAACATAAATTTAGAATACAAGAATAATACAATTTAGAATACAAGAATATATATGTCAATAATGAAAGATAATTTGAAGTCTACCACCTTCTTATCTTCCCCACCATACATAAAACTAAAAGAAGAGATTTTATACCAAATTATTTGGTATTTCACCAAGCATATGTTGAAATAAGTCTTATAAATCATGTAAGAAAATCAACACAAGTAACCAATACATTGAAACAGTCTGAAAACATGTGCATGTGCCACATCTGTGAATCTCCTACCTCTGTAAAGGTGGGGAAAAGGGTTCTCTGATATTTATTCATTTGAGTCGTGCTTGATCTTTCTAATTGTGTTATATTCGTTTTTGATTTTTGGGTGTGTTATTGTTCTTTCCATTTACATTGTTGTAAATTACTGTGTATATTTTTTTCTTGGCTCTGCTTACTTCGCTCTACATCAGTTCAAGTAGATCTTTCCATGCTTCTTTGCAATCATCACAGTTATCGTTTCTTGTTGTTTTTCAGACATTTCAGTGAGGTCTAATTCTTTGTGACCCTATTTGGGATCTTAGCTAAGAAACTGGAGTGGTTTGCCACTTCCTTCTCCAGCTCACCTCATTTTATAGATGAGGAAACCAAGACAAATAGGGTTAAGTGACCTGCCTGGAATCACACCGCTAGAGTGTGAGGCCAGATTTAAACTCAGGAAGGACATGAATTCATCGTTTCTTACCGTACAGTAATATGCCATTACATTTTCAGTTTTGAATTATCTGCTTTCTCTACTTATGTCTCTGCTTGTCCTACCCATTGAGAAACCAAGAAAATCAAAACTCATCATAAACATGTATAGGCATACAAAACAAATTTTGGCATTAGTCATGTTCAAGAAAAAAAAGAGAAGAAAATATTCTTTAGTCTTTGAGGTCATAAAGTTTTTTATCTGGAAGGGGTATCATATTTCATCATTATAAATCCTTTAAAATTATGTTTGCTCATTGTATTGATTAGAGTTACTAAGCCTTTCAAAGTTGGTTATCTTTTCAATACTGCTATTACTGTATCAATTGTTCTCCTGGTTCTACTAGCCACTTTGTGTCAGTTCATAAAGGTCTTCCTAGGTTTTTCTGAAAATATCCTCTTCATAATTTCTTTGAGCAAAATGGTATTTTATTGCATTCAAATGCCATTGATGGGCATAACCTCAGTTTCTAATTCTTTGCCACTACAAAAAGAGCTGTCATAATTATTTTTGCACATATGGGTCCTTTTCTTCTTTCTTTGATCTCTTTGGGCTGTAGCCATAGTAGTGGTATCATGGGATCAAAAAATGTGCACAGATTAATAGCTTTTCTGATATAACTCTTCCAACAGTGCATTATTGTGCCTGTTTTTCCACAATCCTCCTAGCAATTGGTATTTGCCTTTTTTGTCAACTTTGTCTATCTGATAGGTGTGAGGTGATACCTCAGAGTTATTTTAATTTGCATTTCTCCAATTAGAGATTTAAAGCACTTTTCATATGGCTATTGATATCTTGAATTTCTTCTTCTGAAAACTGTCTATTCATATCCTTTTATCAGTAAGAGAATAGTTCTTCTGGTAAATTTGATTCAGTTCCCTATGTATCTTAGAAGTGAGACCTTTATCAGAGAATCTTGCTGCAAAGATTTTTCCAAGTTCCCTGCTTTTCTTCTAATTTTAACTACATTGATTTTTATTGCATAAAATTAAAAATGTTTTAATTTTATATAATCAAAATAATCTGTTTTACCTCTTGTAAACTTGTCTGTCTTTTGTTTGATAATGAACTTATCCCCTATCCACAAATTTGACAGATAATTTCTTACATGTTCCACTAATTTGTTTACCCTTTATGTCTAAATTACGTACCCATTTTGTGCTTACCTTGGTATATGGTATGAGATGTTGATCTATGCCTAGTTTTTGCCAGACTACTTTCTAGTTTTCTCAGCAATATTTATCATATAGTAGTTTTTATACCAATAGCTAGGATCTTTGGGTTTATCAATCATTAGATAACTTCTCATTTCCTTCTATATCTTATATACCTAACCTGTGCCATGATCAACTACACTCTATTTCTTACCAAGTACCAGTTTGTTTTTATAATTATAGCTATGTCATGTAGCTTGAGATCTGGTACTGTTAGCCCTAGTTCTTGTGTTTTGACCTTTTATTCCTTTAACTGAATTTTGTTATGATTTTTTTCTACCTCCATAAAGTAAATTTTTTTTAGTAATTTGATTGGTATGGTACTGAATAAGTTAATTATTCTAGGTAATATCATCAGTTTTAGTGTATTGGCTTCATTTACCTGTGGGCAATTGATATTTCTCCAGTTTTTTACATTATTTATAGTGTTTATTTGTGTGAATATAATTGTGTTCATAAAGTTTTCCTGTATAGCTTGGCAGGTGAAAGTATTCTATACTTTCTGTAGTTATTTTAAATGGAATTTCTCTTTCTAGCTCTTCCTGCTAGGTTTTGTTGGTAACATATAGAAATATTGATTATATTGATGGGTTTATTTTATACTTCAACTTTCCTAAAGTTGTTAATTTTTTAATTAATTATTTAGCTATCTATTGTTCTCTAAATAAACCATAATATCATCTGTAAAAAGTGACAGTTTTCCCCCCTCTTTGTCTATACTTATTTCTTCAATTTCTTTTCCTTGTCTTTTTGCTATAGCTAGCATTTCTAGTACAAGCATTTCTAGTACATGTTAATGGACATGCTTATTTCACCCCAGATTTTATTGGGAAGGCTACTAGCTTATCTTCATTACAGATATTGCTTGCTCTTGGTTTTAGATAGATACTATATAAGATAGTAAGGAAAGTTCTTTTTATTCCTATACTTTCTAGTATTTTTCATAGGAAAAGGTGTGGTATTTTGTCTGTATCTATTGAAATAACCATATGAATTTGTTGTCTTTGTTATTAATATGATCAATTATGTTTATAGTTTTTCTTAGTATTGAACCAATCCTGGTCTAAATTCATCCAAATCATACTGTATGATCTTTATAGTCTATTGCTGTAATCTCCTTACTGGTATTTTATTCTGCTATAAATATATTGATGGGCAGCTAGGTGGCACAGTGGATAGAATACCAGTCCTGAAGTCAGGAAGACTATCTTCCTGAGTTCAAATTTGGCCTCAGACACTTAGTAGTTGTATGACCATGTATAAGCATCTCACTTAATCCTATTTGCCTCAGTTTTCTCATCAGTAAAAGGAGCTGAAAAAGGAAATAGCAAACCACTCCAGTGTCTTTGCCAAGAAGACTAAAACTGGGGTCACGAAGATTTGGACATGACTGAAACAACTCAATAACAACAACAAAATATATTGATATCTATGGAGTCTTTCTTCTTATCAGTCTTCCTTGAGATAGAATTCCTATATTGGAATCTCTGATTCAGCCTCATACTCTTAATCCACATATCCTCCTGATTCCCACTTTATACAATTCCTCACTTTATTTAAGAGCCAGTTCAAGTACCACCTTCTCCATGAATCCTTTCATGATTCCCCCAAGTACCAGCGCCCTCTCTCCATAGCTATGTTTAATTTAACTATGTTGTATTTATTTTGTATTTTTTGTATATACTTTTATATATGTGTCTTTTCTCCCTTCAGAGAGAGTTAAATTCCTTGAAAGTCGGGACAGTTTTATTTTTTATATTCATATCCCAGTGCTTAGCACAATGTCTGACAAAGAGTCTACTTAATAAACGAACACTTGTTGATGGATTGATTGTTTTGCATTGCAGTCTTTTTTTACTGAGCTGTTATTCACAAACAGGTCAGTGTTTCTAATTTTGAATTTGAAATACAAAATCATGGATTCATATGTTACAGATTTTAATACTGCAATATAAATTTAAAAATAATCTAGTACAATTCCATCATTTAACAATTGAAGCAACTGAGGCAAGAAAGTTAAAGTAACTTCCAGGATTTCATCCTTCCTCTGACTCCAAATACAGATATCATCATGTAGATGCTATTTTTTTCTACTTAAATTTTTTAATAGGTAATTTTGAGGCAGAAATTCAGATGTAAGTAGGATAGAGGGGACTTGATTACAGCAACTACCCGAAAGGGCATTCTTTCCCTATGATGTTATTCAGCATTTAGGGATGAACAGACATCAGGCCCCCAGCAGGTTGGTTGGTGTATGAGGATCAAGTGGGGACAGGGTCCACTGGGAATATGCTGCTTCTCCAGACGAGGAGAAGCCATCAGGACCTACAAATACATCTAACCTTGCACTCTGTAAGGCTACCTCCAGTATGTCAGTTAGAGTATTTTTTCCTTCGAGCCATGACAATGTTACTTTTTCCTTTGTAGTGATTGTGATTTTAAAATGGACTTGTTTTCATTTTTTTTAGAAGGGATACTCATTTGTGGCAGAAGCCTATACGAGTGATTTTTATGTAACAGCTGGAAAATGGAGACTCCGTATCATTGGTTCTTTTAGTCCCCTGCCTTATCTTGGTCGAGAGACTGCATGCAGTTTATTTTCCATGAGGGAAATTAAAGACTATTATATTCCTAATGACAAGCAGATTATGTTCAGGTATATGTTTATTTCAAAAGGGGAAATATTTTAATATTTTAAGTTCATTCATATATAAAACCATCACAAGGTTTTTGTGAGGACCAAATGAGAAAATATTTGTAAAGCATTTAGTACAGTGTCTGGCACTTGGTAGGTATTTAATTAATTCCTGTTTCCTTCCAGTAAGGTATCAGTATCTAAAGCAGCCAATATGCTTACGTAATCTGACTTTATAGTCACTATGAATCAACTGGAAGCTCAAATTAAAAAAAATTCAAACAGAAACATTTAATTTGATAGAGAAAAACCTTTTAAATAAGAGATAGTGTATCCACAATGATTGTCATACTGAGGTACAAGATATTGATTCAACATATGTCTAAATAAGTTGGGCATAGGTCTTCCTAAAATCATAAATTGGAGGGTTAATAGTAATGGATATTTGGGAAAATCTTAAGATGAAAAATGAGATTTTGAAGGGGAGAATATGTTATCTAGAGTGACTGACTTATTTATAGTATTTTTGAATAAATTCTTTTTAATTTGTTTAATTGAATAGATATAATTATACAATTAATTATTCATAACAAAAGCAAAGTAAAAAAGAAAGAAAAATTCCAAATGTGATATATTTGTCTTTGATTGCACCAAAGATATTTATATTACCTAGGGTAAAGGTGCATATACTATCAAATCTCAAGATAAAAATCTTTAATGTCTAAAATTACCACAAAATTTTGGGGAGTGTATCTATATTTGATATGACTAACATTTATCCAAATAATGTATATATTTAAAAGAAAAATGCCAATCCAGGTATTCCCAGCCATTTTAATAAAGGAAAAATATTTTTCATTTCCAAAAATATGTCAATACTGGGACTGGAGCATGGGGAGATATAGCAGCTTTGAGATGGCTGGGAGGGTAGGTTACATAAAACTGCTAAAAAGAGGTAGGGAGTGGGGCAGAGCCACGATGATAGAGTAGCAGAAATACTCAAGCTGACCTCTCCCAACACACCCTTCAAAATAACTTTAAAATAACCCTTCAAATTGAATTCTGAAGTGGCATAGCCAACAAATGGGCAGGGTAAGATGTTCTTCCAGCCCAAGACAACCTAGGAGGTTGAAAGGAGGGCTCTGTGACGTTGGAGTGGGGCCTCACCTGGAGCCCGTGTGGGTGCAGCCCAAATGGTGGGACTTGGTGGTGGCAACAAAGGCAGCAGCAGCTTCAGGGGCTGTCCAACTAGAAACAGTGAGGGGATTAGGCAACTGGTGAGAAAGAGATTACAGAGAACCCTGGTATTAGCCCCGGCTCAGGACTGGATGCTCTTTGGTGACTTCATTGCCTATAGGCATAATGGCTGTTCCAACTTACAGATTACAGCTCAAAGGTGGCGAAGTGTGCTATCCATCATGAGGGAGCAGAGCCCTGAGAAGCAACATTACTTGTGGTCACAAGGAAGCAGGAGCCTTTCCTGGGTAAAGACCAGAGCACAGACCGGGAGATCAGTCGCCATACCTCTCCCTGTATCCTACCATCTTAGAAGCACTGAAAACTTCCAAACACAGAATTAGCACTGAAAAGAACAGAGCAAAAAAACAAAACAAAACAAAACCAGAAGGTTGCAACAGTTCTCTACCCCAAACCAAAGAACAGAGGCCAGCTTTAAACTAAAGTAAAATGTTGAGAAATAGGCTGGAAAAATGAGCAAACCACAAAAATGAACACTGATCACAAGGAACAACTGTGGTGTTGAAAGGAATGATCAAGACACAAACTTAGAAGATGACAACGATGTCTAAAACCTACAAGCAATGCCTCAGATGAAAAGTACGTGAATCGGACACAAGTCCAACAAGAATTCGTGGAAGAGCTAAAAAAACCAAATAAGCGTTGTAGAGAAAAAATTGATAAATGGAAAAGGAGGTACCAAAGCTCATTGAAGAAAATAATCCATTAAAAATTAGAATTCATCAAGTGGAAGCTAATGACTCCATGAGATATTAAGAAACAATAAAACAAAATCAAAAGAATGGAAAAATAGAAGAAAATGTGAAATACCTCATTGAAAAAAAACTGACCTGGAGAATAGATTGAAGAGAGATAATTTAAGAATTATTAGACTACCTGAAAGCCATGATTAAAAAAAGAGCCCAGAGAACATATTTCAAAAAATCATCAAAGAAAATTACCCTGGTATTCCTAGAACCAGAGAGTAGAGTAGAAATTGAAGGAGCCCACCAATTACTTTCTGAAAGAGATCCCAAAATGAAAACTCCCAGGAATATTATAGCTAAATTCCAGAGCTCCCAGGTCAAGGAAAAAAAGTCTGAAAGCAGCCAGAAAGAAAGAATTCAAATATCATGGAGGCACAATAAGGATTACACAGGATTTAGCAGCCTCTACATTCCTGAAGGCAAAGGAGCTAGGATTACAACCAAGAATCACCAAAGAATTATACTTCGTGAAACTAAGTATAATCCTTCAGGGGGAAAATAGATATTCAATTAAACGGAGGACTTTAAAGCATTCCTGATGAAATGACCAGAGCTGAACAGAAAATTTGATTTTCAAATACAAGACTCAAGAGAAGGTACTGTAGACGATGAAGTAATAACAACACTAAACATATATGCACCAAACAGCATAGCATTCAAATTCTTAAAGGAAAAGTTAAATGAATTACAAGAGAAAATACACAGTAAAACTCTATGGGGGTTAGGGGGAGTCATCAATTTTCCCCTCTCAGAACTAGATAAATCTAACTGAAAAAATAAGAAGTTAAGGACATGAATAGAATTTTATCCTATTCTACTAGCTTAAAAAAACAACTTTGACAATTTAGAGATTTTAATGAAATAGCATTTTTTGTAGACTATTATACTAACAAAATTTATAATTGTCTTTATTTGGATTACAGAAAAGACTATTAAGTAAATTGTTCACAGAGTTTTTATTTTTATTATTGTTATTTTGATTTTATAGGTATTCGGTAAAAGTGGTACAAGGGCTCATTGTGACGGTACAGGTACGTACTTCTAAAAGTGATGTTTTCGTCAAACTACAGATCCTGGAAAATGAAGAAGAAGCTGTAAGCACTATTGGAAAAGGCCATGCAATAATTCCTGCATTTTTTTTCCTTAGTAATGAAAAAACTTTAAGCTCTCAATGTAAGTAACTTATTTTAATTAAATTTTTAATTCTTTCAAAAATACTTGAATTAAAGAATAGACATTTACTTACTCAGTTTTAAAATCATTTACTTGGAGAAAACAATGAAAAGACAAATGTGTGAAGGTGTGAAATAGCACAGCTATGGTCAAATGAAGTCATCATTTAACACATTATTATATCATATTAATACATATGTATACAAAATATATGTATATACACATACTATACATTTATACACCATACAAAATATACATATATAAACCATTTTGCTGCTGCTGCTCTGTGTGTGTGTGTGTGTGTAGCAGTAAAATGGTTCTTCTCAAAAAGGTTTTATTGTAGTATCTCCTGGAACTAGCCTTGTGTTCTTCAGGCCATGCCAGTAATGCACAAGCTCTGAAAGGTTTTCCCTTGCTGCAAAGGTTTTAAGTCATTTCCATAGTGAACTGCATTGTCTTCCCAAGATGCTCATGCTGGACACTAGGTGTTAAATCCTTTGGCCTTGACAAACCAAGAAACAACAAAAAATACTTTGGCAGTGATGGTGGTAGAATGGTAGCAAAGGTGACAGAGAATGATAGTTTTCAGACCACCTTTCTATCAATATTAATTTAACTGTTGACACTCTAAATGTGAGATCCTTGTCCAGTGATCAGTAAACATAGTACTAGATAAATTATATCAACATTGATATTCTTGTTATAAGTGTAATTAGAAGATACAGCTTACCGGCAAAAGGAGATAAACAGAGGAACAAATGTTTATTAAGCATTTACTATATGGCCAATGCTGTGCTAAGTGCTTTCCAAATATTGTCTTATTTAATCCTCATAACCATCCTGGGAGGTAGGTACTGTTGTTAATTAATGGCATCACGTTGCTCAGATTAGTATTACAGAAGACTAGAAAATATGAATGTTAGTAGACTAATAGCCTTTAAAGGTAACTAAACTGAAGCAAAAGACCAATCCATAAGTCTTAAGATACCCTGAATTACTTGCTAGACAGTCAATGGTTTTCTGTGCTATATTTGCAAAATAGACACTATCAGATCCCCATGGCAGAACATAAAGAGAAAACAGCCTCTGTTGGCCCAGCTGTATGTAGTTTCACCATATAACTCAAGGATTCTCAAGGCCATAAACTAGGCAGCACAGTTTAGCAGCAGTCTGGCGACTGGTAGGGCATTCCAGCTTGCCCCATCCCTTTGCTGAATTGTGCAAGTAGAAGTCTATACAATAAGGAGTAAAGGGTAGAGTAGTCAACACTTGAACCTCACTCTCCTCTGAACTGGTCAAAGATGAGAATATACATACATACACAACTGGATACAGAAATGCATTTCACCTAATCAGGAAACAAGAGGAAAAGGAGTCAAAGGAAATGTGAGAATAAAAGGTCAGGATAGATTAAGGGAAGGATTAGTCACGAGCAAAAAAAAAAACTTTTAAAGTGGGGGCAGGAAACAAAGAGAAGGAAGAGTATAATTGAACAGGATGAAGGGAAATACCCAACAATCATAATTGTGAATATTATTTGAAATAGTTCCCCAAATGATAACTATGATGATTAGAATAAAACATCAAAGATAGAAATAAAGAGAAGGCAGAAGTATAACTCTTTGCAGATGATATTATAATGTACATAGAAAACACCACTGAATCAGTAAAGAAATTGAGATAATTAGTAGCTATCAGAAGGGAATGGGTTACAAAATAAAACCTTCAAAAATCATTATCATTGCTATGTAATACTAATAAAAGCCAGGAAGAAAAGATAATAAGATAAATACCATTTGAAATAACTACTGGAATTTGACCTACCCAGGCACACACAGAGATTTATGCAAAAACTTTCTTGACAGAAATAAAGGGATACATAAACAATTGGAGAGATTTGTGGTTGGACTATTCAAATATGATTAAGCATTAAGCCTTTTCAATATTATTTTATATTTTTCCTTTCATATGCTCTGTTGTTGTCCATATAGGAATACCAAATTACCCTGGCAGGCATAAGACATCCTAGATACTCTCGTTTATCACCCTAAAATTTTTCCTTAATGTGGAACTGAGTTCGAGATCTAGACCAAAAAGGAAAACAATATCTTTATTCCTAATCTACTTACCAATATACGAAATGTTTGTAGTGTTTAAAGGTTTACAAAACATTTTACAAAACATTTTCTCACTTGGTCTTTACAATGATAGTGATACAGCAAAGTATTTCATGAAAATATTTTCCCCATTCCCCATTTTGCAGATGAGAAGACAAGCTTAGATAGATGAAGTGACTTTCCCAAGGTCATACCACTAGGGATGTAAACCCAGGACTTTAATTTCCAAGTCCAGTCTTTTTTTCTTTATACCATGACAGGTAATACTGTGTACAGATTTCGGTGCAACAAAATAATTGGGGTCACTATTTGAAGCTTGTTATGGCAGGACACAACAAAACAAAGACAATACAGTATTAAATGCATGTTATCCATTATTAAACTCAGAATGAATATTTTATCCCATATCAGCTAGCAAACAAGTTCTTTCTCATAATATGGCTACCAAGAAAGAAGCAGATGTTCCACAAACCAAGAAAAAAGCTGCTGCAGGAGCTCAAAAAGTTAATAAGACACGACTTTCTGGTATAGTTGAAAGTGGTCAGCCTATTCTTGATGATGATTCTGTTAGTCTTCCAAATGTAGATGGAAACTCTCAAGTTTCCCAACAGGTGAGTCATTTACATTAAAAAGAAGTATCTACCAGGTAATAGTTAAAAACAACTGTTTTACTTTCTTCAAGATAGCCTTGATTTAAAAAAAAAAGACTTGTTGAAATTGTAAAATTCTCTATTCTAAAAACAGAGCAACGTTTTAATTGGGTTTGTGTTCCATTTAATAGTAGTAAGGCCTCAAATAAACAATAAAATAATGGTTGATTTTTGTGGATTAAAAAAGATGTACAATAATTTTGTTTATCATTTCAGTGGAAGGAATTCAGTCAGTCTGGTAATTTCCCTGCAGATGCATCATTGAACACAGACATTTAGAGATACTTACTGGTATAAAAAAAAAAAACAACAAAAAAACCAAGAATGTAAATTAGAGAATCATAGAATTGAAAGGTATATTACATAAATACCAGTCTCCTTATTTTATAGATTAGGCAAATAAGGTCTATAGAAGTTAAGTTCAAGCTCATGATTAATTGAATTATGTACCATGAATTTTTAGACTTCACTGATCTATGAAAATATTAGAATACAATCTTGGTGAGAAGAGGCCTTTTATTTTGTAAGACAAATGAATTTTATGATCTTTTTTCAGCTGGAAAGAATGCAGTAGTGATAATGCTACAAATAGCTGATATGATTTATTGGGACAGAGTTATAAATTTGGAGTTAGAGGACTATGTTCAAATCCTATCTTTGTCCTTTCTAGCTGTCTTATCTTGTGAAAGTCCTTTCACCTCTAGGATTGAACTTCCTCCTCTGTAAAATGAAGAGATTGAATTAGATGACTTTCAGGAGTCTTTCTAGCTCTGAATCCAAGGTACCATGATCTCAGCATGCATTCTTTGTGCACTCCAAACATTCTTTGTGCACTCCAAACATTTTGTCTTTACGTTGAGGTAACTGGTATTGAGTTATCAGTTTAAGGGCCAGTCACTTTTGCATTTAATATACTGTATATTCACATTACTTCTTCACTAAACACTGCATTTCATTTCAGACTTATAAGTACATCATACAAGCTACAGTATTATATAACAGTTGGCCCCTTACAGAAAGCCAGGTGGCATTTGTTCAGACACTTAAAGACTTGGAAAAAAATGATCTCAGAGGTATGTTACCTTAAATTCTTGCATTTATATGAACATTATATTTGTGTATTTTATCTTATAATTTCAATGTAATTTCAAACATTATTTTCTGCTTATATGGTATATATTCTTTGGTTTTCCTCATTTTTTTATTCTTAAAAGTGTCAATATTTTTGCAATTGATTTGTTGAACCAAAAATACGAGGAACGCTTTAGACCCAGATGAAAACTAACTTTGCCTAGTCAAATCAGCATAATTTATTACATTCTGCTAGAGAATTTTCAAGTAATTTAGAGAAAATCGATTTTCACAAAATTTAATTTATGACAATTCATTTATAAAATTTGGATATTTCTAGTAACAGTAAATTATCATTTCAGCAGGTGGAGGTATTGCTACATGAAAGAGGACTTTTTGATGTATAAAATATTGTGTACGTCACATTGTAGAGCAAAGAAATAATAGGTTTTATTCTTTAAAAATCAAATGCAGACACCCATAATGTCCAAGCTTTGAACAAAAAAAAAACAGATTATTTTCACATTTGGAAGGATGCAGTTTTAACAAGCATAGCCCTAGTATTATTTATCTCTCAGAATTTTTCCAAATAAAATGTCTTCTTTTTTGGTTGCTACAGAATAGTAAATTTAGATTTGTCATTTTATTAATGATCCATTCATGTAAAAATAAGGAACACTTATTAGAGAAGGGTTTTTTGGTATTGCTTTTAGGAGTTCTTAAAAAGAGTTCTTTTGGCCAAGGGACAAGGACAAGGTCAAGAACGGCAGACAGTACTCTCACTTTTTTTCCCAAAGTTCTGCCAGGATATGGCAGGAGACAAGGGCATCATTGCTAAATGTTACAACTGGGATGAAGGCTCTGGAAGGAGATAATATATTCCACGTCCTCAGCAGGAGATTAAGCAGAACATATAGGGATGCAATGGAGAGGAACTTGAAGACCTAATGTGAAGGAGTAGGCAAAAGTGGAAACCAAGCCCAAATTGAGTTTGAAGTGAGAGAACATCATGGAAAGCAGACAGAACAACAGCCATCACTTGACATTCGTGGAGGTTCAGGGAGCTGGACCCCAACAAATGTGAAAAACTGCAAATAACTCTAGGCCCCACCCCAAACCTTTATTTTTAATAATTCTGATCACATTAATTTAACATTTAACACACAAAACAAGTAAAACAACACATTGTACCCACAAAAAAAAGTTGCAGTTTCTACATTAGAGAGATTAGTATCTTGCACACTAGGAAGAGTCTTTGAAGCTGCAATATAGCTGTAGCAACTACTTCATGGATTTCCATCTCCTATGAAAGCACAGGATATAGTGATCACTATGGGAGAAATTCACATGATTGAGTATGGATGGTAGAGAGACAAAGTGGAGGCATTCCCAAGAGAGTACACAGCCTGTAGTTATTTAGTGCACTGAAACTTTTAACAAAATTTTACTGTTTATAATAAATTTATGTGTGTATATTTGTGGTAGTAAATGATAAAATAGATTAATAATATACAACATTATGCATTTATGATTTACTAAGATTTTTTTTGCGTTCTTTACCTATGTACGTTACCTGAGATTTTTTGCATATGCTGCAAATCTTCAAAAATTCCTATTTAATTATCACTGGCCAACCCCAAATAACCAAAACTGCAAATGAAACCCAGGAATGTCGAGGATGATTGTAGGTGGGCCAGGACAGAGATAGTGTAGCCAGTAGTAAAAAAATGACCATGTATTTGGAAGTAGAGGAGCTTTTCAACAATAAAGACATATTAGAGTGGCTTATTAGGATGGAATGGTAGAGCATAAGGGCCATGTCTCCTCAGGCATTTTAAAGGAGCCCTACAGTTGAAAAATGAAAACTTGATGAATCAGGTTTTATGTTTCTTTATTCTTGAAGAGATCACACTGAGAATATGTCTTTTTCCTGGATGCAGAATTGATTAGGTAGGAATCCCAAGATGATCCCTACGTATAGCTCTCATAGATCTTAAAAAGGAAAAGAGGTGCAAAGAAACTGTAGAAAATATTGTATTTGTATGTGTTTTTTGGAGTTGGATCAGTATTAAAAAGGCTGAAGTCACACACACACACACACACACACACACACACACACACATACGTGTGTGGGGTACAGAGACCCTTACCAATGAATCGGAGACTCAGAGATATTAGCAAAAAGAATAGTTCGTTTATTGGCTTTCTTGAGAAAGGACACACCCAGCATCGCTCAAGATGGCTCCAGCCAGGGTGTGCAAGGGAGTGCAGCTCAAAGCCAGTTTATATAGACCCTAACACAGAATCCCCACCCACCCACTAGCTCCTCTTCCCATTGGCTAGGCTTCGGCGCTCACAGTCTAATCGTGGAAACGTTTCCCCAGCAACAAGGTTGCAAAAAAGCGCAAAACAAGGAACAGTCGGTTCAGCAGGGAAGTAAGATAAAAGGAGGGGAGAGCCAGAAAGCCTGGACAAACAAGATACTTTCTGAGACATCACCTGATGTACTCCCTTATCTTGAGTAACATTCTGTTTTCTTTTAGCAAGGCAGTTTCTGGGAACTCTTGTCTCAGTAAGGCCAAGTCCTATCCTTCCCTGAGGGGGCTTCACTATTTCAGCATCCCACTCACACATTAACGTAAAGGACTGTGGGGAACTGTTTCCTGGTACTGTAATAGTTTCCTTTTTTTCTGGACACTTTTCTGTATACTTTCTGGACACTTAGGAAGTCTAGCATGTCATTATAACATTTTTTGACTGCTACGTCATGCCTCAGTCACACTAATGACTCACATTGAACTTACACCATACTAAAACTTCCAGATCTTTGCTCTCAGAAAGCTTTCCAAGCTAAACTTTAAAAATCTTGTATTTTTGAAGTTAAGTTTTGAAGCCCAAAGACTGAACTTTACATTTATCCTCATTGAATTTAATTTTATTCCGTTTGGCCCAGTATTTCAGCCTGTTAAGATCTTTTTGGCTCCCAACTCTTGTCCAACATGCTTGAGATACTTCCCAGCTTTGTGTAATTGCATATGTGATAAGCATGTCCTCTATGATAAAAGATTAAAATGTGGAACAGCACAGTGTCAGGACAGTGTGATGCATATTCCATTGTGGATCTCGCTCCAGGCTAAGACAGAAACCTTAATGATTACTCTTTGGGTCTAGTCATTCAATCAGTTCTCAGTCCACCTACCAGTATGTCTGCTCATCTAGGCACATGTGTGTTCCTTGAAGATGGTAACTCTTAATTGTTTATCTTTGGGTCACGGACATGCCCAGGCACGCATCCTCTAACATCTCTTGGTTAAAGTAGGAATTTCCTTGCTGAGGCCTAAGTTCCCTGGACAAATTTCAAATACTCTTTGTTTTTGTTTCCTCATAGCCCTCTGAAGAGGGCTTCTTCTTCACAGATTCACAGCTTTCTTGTTGCAACTAGACCACAGGCCAGTGAGTTGATACATTAAGAATGACTGCATTCATGAGTTGGAGCTAGCGCTGGCTCTGGGTATCTCTTTTAAAAAAAAAAGATAAGGTCTCAACTTAGAAACAGATACAGAAGAAAATTGAGACCCAAAAGGAGAGGATTCTCCATGGTAGAGGAAACCAGAAATTCTAGAAGTGAGCAATAGATACTCAACAGAGATCCTTCTAAAGAGAAGACCAAGAGTTAGTGCACACATACAGACACCGGGATGCGTGTGGATTTAGAAAAAGATTTGTGAGAATACATGTAGCCTCTACAGGGCACCATGCGTGCCTAGGGACCAAAGCTTACAGAATGGCTCCAGAGAAAGTGGAGGAAGCTAGGTGGTGTAGTAGATAGAATGTTGAACATGGAGTCAGGAAGGCCTGGGTTCAAATCCAGCCTTGGACTTAGAATAAATCACTTAAGTTCTGTTTGCCTCAATTTCCTCATCTGTAAAATGAGGATGATAATAACATTTACCTCCCAAGGTTGTTGTGAAGATAATTAAATATAATATTAATAAAACACTTTGCAAACCTTAAAGTGGTATATTAAGGCTAGGTATTATTAGCTATTATAATTAACATGAAAGAATAATAAGTCTGAACTGGTCCCTGCTGTGAGACAGGTAAAATGAGATGAGGAAGGGATTAAGAATCTCAATGAGAGAAAATGGAAGAGAAAATTGACTAGCCTCATTCATACCTGTAGAGAAATTCCCAGGCCACACCATTGCAAGGCCACAAAGAAGAAGTGGCTATATAGCCAGGAGCTGTGCATACCAAGGAGTAAGCTGGATCTATCATTTCCCCAATAATTATGTGCCATGGATTATGTTGTTGATAGCTAGCATAGTGCTTTAAGGTTTGCAAAGTTTTTTAAAGGTTAAGAAAGAAGAGTCACTTGGTTGTCTCTAGAAAAAGGAGAGAAGAGTGTTTCTCTCTTTTAAGGGGCTTTGATGTAAGTTTATTCTATGTCTTTTTTTCTACCTAAATAAAATATGTCCTATAGATAGTGCCTTGTTAACTTTAATACATACAGGACAGCCAAAATTCTTTAAAGAAACAAAATCCAAATTCTTATTTTCCAAGGGGAAACTTTGAGCATGGTCTGAATAAGCTAAATTCTTATGTTCCCAAGAGCAATAGAAATCTATCTTACCCTACAGGAAAGTAAGAGGGGAAGAGTATAGGAGAAAGAGGGGGAGTGATAGAAGGGAGGGCTGATTGGGAGAGGGGATAGTCAGAATTCTACAAAACCCATTTGAGGAGTGACGAAGTGAAAGGAGAGAGATAATATAATAAACAGGAGAGGGGAATAGGTTGGAGGGAAATACAGTTAGCAATAGTAACTATGAAAAAAAAATAAAGCAAGTTTCTCTGATAAAGGCCTCATTTCTCAAATATATAGGTCTTTTTCCCTTTTGATTTTTTTTTATCTCTTTTGGGTTACAGACCTAGTAGTGGTATTGCTAGGTCAAAGGGTATGCATGGTTTTATAGTCCTTTGGGCATAGTTCCAAATTGCTCTA